TGCTGGGGGTTCCCGGGGTCTGGGGCTGGGGTGTGTGCCGGCCTGGCCTGGTGACTGCCTGCTGGGGCTCGGGACCTCTAGACCTGATTGATGTTATTCTTACCAGAACTTCTCCAAAATTAGTAAAAGTTTTCCTGAATAAAATGAGTGGCTGACCTCATGTCAGCAGACATTTTGAAAAGGCAAAAAAAAAAAGGTTCCACTTCCTGCAGTACATTTGTAATCCACCAGAGGGCAGAATACAGGTCTCAAATGATATACAACAGGTTTTTGAGAAAATTTTTGACCACATTGATAAAATATAAATCACAGAATCCAGCATAGCAAATATGATACAAATGGCGATATAGGATTAATTAATTATCTTAGGGATTGTGTAGAAGTGGGACCATGCTGGGCCATAAAAACAAACTTCTCAGACTCACCTGTTTTAAGAACTAGATGGAGCGTGTCAGACTTAGGGTCAAAGGGTCGGGATAGGGTCATCCACATCTGGAAGGTCTGGCCCCTGCGGATGATCAGTCTGTCAGTTTGGTACCGATCCGTGTGATGTTCGGTCCGGTTCACACCTGACGGGGTCTTCATCAGGTCCATGGACTGGACTTTCAGAAGAAGTTCTGTCAATATAAAAACAGCAAGGATTGAAAAGGAACATGCTGCAGCTGCAGATGAAGCAGTAAGTGTTTTTTTTTTTTTTTTTTTGCGAAGCAACGTCTGCTGTTATTTTCCTTTTGTATCTGTTAAGAGAGCATGGAGGAAAAGTTCTGCGCGGCGCAGCGCAGCTGGAGCGCTGCTGTCCCACTGCTGTCCCGCCGCCTCTAAGAGCAGAACCAGGTAAATGAAAGTCAGAAGACCTGCGCACACAGGTCAGTTTTCTACAATCACAATAAGATGATCGGATTAAGTGTTTACATGCACGCCATTCCGATTATCAATCGGCATAACCCACCCGACTCATTCGGATTAAAAATTCATTCGGAWCGAGCTGAATCGGATCAGAATAACCCGAATGGGGTGTTTAAATGACGCCTTTTTATTCCGAACGACCTTTTAATCCGATTACTTTTGTCCATGTAAACGTAGCTACTGAGTCATTTGGTATTGGCCACGCCCTTTTCCGTCTAAACTTCTTTTTTTTCCCAATAGCGCAAAATTTGCAAAATCTACTTTTGGCTTTGTTTTAAAGATTTAAAGTCTGATTGCCACCAAACTCATCATCCTGTATCTAGTTAGTATGAAGACTGTAAATCTTGAAGGACAAGTACAAAAATTATAAAATGCATGRGTTATGGCTAGGCAAATAGCTCAGGCAAGCTAGCTAAACAGGAATTCTCCTATACCTTCCAAATAGTAGTACATAATCACAGAAAAATTATACATATAGTACAGAAGTCTGTTTTAAGTAGCTTGACCAAATTTTAAAGTCAATGATGCATAGGGGGCGCTATAAACCACAAAAAATTTCACAAATAATGGCATATGGGATATTCATGAAACTTTGCACAGACCTACAGACCCTTGATTAGAACCTAAATCTGAAAGGTCATTATGCACAAATAAAGTGGGCGTGGCCTATACTTTCTTAAATGAAAATCTTTATAAAATCATTKATGGAGCCTAAACCRTCAGGGATTTTGAGGTGTTTCCATAGCAAAAATAAAGCACACTAACTTCTATATAATACTAAATAAACTGCATGAGTCCACCAATAAAACACCCTACAGACTGATGCTGCTCCCTCTTGCACCCCCAGTACATTTATTTGTACTGAGGCAGCTGTTTGCCCAATTAAAATAATCAGAACGCCAAGAATTTTTACCCGATTTTCACTCTGTTTAATTTGTTATAAATAGCAGAGATATAGTTCTGATACAGGCCACTGTCACACATTAAAATGCCAGTTTTCATTCTGAAATGTGTGACCCATCATATCAAAATGAGGATTAAGTCAAATTTGGTAAAAATGACCTAATTACATTTTCAGATTCTTGTCTTTAAAAGCTACATTTTGACACCTGGATCATTCTGATATCATAATTAA